TAAATAAAGAAAAAACAATATAATTTCGATATTATAGATTTATTATTTCATGTATTAAATATATTTGTATTATTTGTTCTTAATTTGGTGCTCCGATCCAGGTTCGATCCTTGGATAGATTATCCGGTACTTCTCCTCTCTGCTCAGGGTCCTTCATGTAGGCTGGTTCTCCTGTTGTTGTTTGAAGCAGAAACTACTCGTAATAGGACTCGGAGATATTTTGTTCTGGTTCCTCTCTTTAGATTGATTCATTAGACAGGTTGTGTTCAAGTACTAGAACTCTCCATCTTCTCTCTCTCCTCATTGAACTTGTTCTGCTCTTCTACATTCTCGTCCTCCAGCTCAGGGAGTACCAGTAGAGTTGAACTCGTCCTGCCCTGATATATCTCCTCTAGCTCCGTCCAGAACTTGTTCAGGTTTACACGAGCTGAAATTGCAAATCTATTTGGTAATCTTCTCTTCATCTTCAAGGTTTTCTTTGTGATGTAAGCTTGCTTGAAAGTCTGAGGATTGCACATGGTGTCTGCTCTTGTTGAGGTCTGAACCTAAACTGAATAAAGCTTGGGGAAGCGAGGGCGAAGTGTGCTCGGCACGGTACACCAACTTGCCGCGCGGCACGGGGCAAACACGCTTGTCCCGTGCTTGGCCCAGCACGCTTACAGCTGAACCAGCCAGAACGGTCCGCGCCAAGCTTTCAATGTAAATAGATGGCAGGACCAGAAGCTATGGCAAAACCATTAGAATAAACTAACGACCAGGCAGTAAAAAACAAACAAACAAATAAAACTTTAAAACGATAAAAAAGGATAACACCTCAATTTCCAGGATCACAATAACATCACAATTAGAATAGGTAAAAGAAAAACTTAAAGAAGAATATTTCTAATAAAGAATTTTAGGTCAGTGGGGGGTAAAGGATAAGCGACAAGACTTTATTGGTTGTAACTTAAGACCTAGACATTCCTGGACTAAAAACTTAAAAGCTTTGTGTAAAGTTAACTCCTGGGACGGAGCATATAAAATGATAGGATCTCATGCACTGCATCCTGAGAATCTAGAAAATCTGAACCTTTTTCTTTATCTCTTCAACCCATAAATATATCCTGGTTCTCTTTAGAACCTATTACCTTATCCTGGTTCTCTTAAGAACTTATAAATATATCCTGGTTCTCTTTAGAACCTATTACTTTATCCTGGTTCTCTTAAGAACTTATTAATATATCCTGGTTCTTTTAAGAACCTATTGATTTATCCTGGTTCTCTCTAGAACCCATTTATGCATCCTGGTTCTCTTTAGAACTTATTGATATATCCTGGTTCTCTTCAGAACCCGTGTATGATTCCTGGTTCTCTTTAGAACCCATTGATATATCCTGGTTCTCTCTAGAACCTATTAATATAAATTATTGTTCTGTTTAGAACCTGATATATCCTGGTTCTCTTTAGAACCTTTCGATATATCCTGGTTCTCTTTAGAACTCATTTATGTATCCTGGTTCTCTTTAGAACCTTTCGATATATCATGGTTCTCTTTAGAACTTATTTATATATCCTGGTTCTCTTCTGAACCCCATAATATATCCTGGTTCTCCTTAGAACCTATTAATGCATCCTTGTTCTCTTTAAAACCCATTGATGTATTCTAGTTCTATTTAGAATCCTTAAATGAAATATTCCCACAACCTCTATTTTGGAGGTTTTCCCACAATCTCTATTTAAGAGGTTTTTAAATATTTTCTCTTCATTTTGTATGTCTTTGTTATAATTAATAAATAATTACCTATCTACTTATTGATACATCTTGGTTCTATCTAAAATCCTTTAATGTATTTTGGTTCTCTTTGGAACCCATTAATGTATCCTGGTTCTCTTTGGAACCCGTTTATGCACCCTGGTTCTCTATAGAACCCATTTTTATATCCTAGTTCTTTTTATGTATTTTGGTTCTTTTTCGAACCAATTTATGTATCCTGGTTCTCTTAGAACCCATTTATGTATTCTGGTATTCTGGTTTCTGTTATCTGTTCTCCTTGTAACCCACAAATAAAACCTTAATTACTTTCGTCTCCTTATCAACCTTCTGAAATAGATTCTTTTCCTCTATGGGAAGAAGTCATGGATAAAAGTCTATTTGACCTTATTTATCTGGGTCCAGTGTTAGATAATAAGAGTTGGTTTATGAGTAAACACTACTCAAGGATAACCCGGAGTAAGGAGAGATTAAGCATGAACCTGGGATCCTGAGACTGCAGGACAGCTGCAGAGAACAATTATGGAAGATGAAACCTAGCTCTGTAATTATAAGCGTAGATATGGAGAGGAGTGCAGGTGCGGAGTTATTCCGTCCTGCTCCGTATACTCTTCCCACGGTTTAGTATAAACACACTTGCTCCGAACCCTTCTCAATGAGGAGAGATTGAGCGTGTGCGAGATGATATTAATTTGTTTTCATTCACAAATGTGAGAATTTTAACATATTTATGTAACTCAAGCGTCAGTGTTTAGACTATATTTAACAGACAATATTTATTTTCACACATATAATTCATATCTTGGGATGGGAATCCAACATTTCATCCGATATTTTGTAATTCATAAACTTGCTTTTATAAAGAAAAACTTAATTTAGAACCCATTGATTAACCTAGTTGGTTCAAGATCGAAATGAGAGGTCGGAAAAATGTTTTGTATAGCTCTAAACCCTGCTGGAAAACAAACAAGAACCAGAAACCAGCTCGATTTTAAACCTTGATTGCAAGCTCGGTAAACATTTTTTTAGTTTTAACACTAATTATTAAATAAAAGAATAATGCGATTCATCTTAGACATTAAAAAAGAAACCAAAGAACCCCGAACCCAGAGTAAATCAAACCCTGCTAACTGTAGAGAGAACCCGGAGAAAATTGATTCCTGCTTGTGTGTAGAAATTAGAACCCGGAGACGAATCCTATTTTAGTTCGTACTGGAGTGGAAACGGTTTCCAGTATTTGCTTTATGGATTATTTTTCAAATTTTAGTTTTAAGATTTTATTCATGATATTTGAGAACCGGGATCCCGGGCTTAGCCGGAATTTAGTTGAATTTTGAGCGCTAGAGAGCTAAGCCTGAGTCAGGGTAGTTTTTGCTCTGGGTTTAAAAATGAATGGGTTGGGGGTAGGAAAGGTCGAAGAGGGATGATGTTTACTGGATCCTTTGATTGCTAACGCTTCTTCGAATAATTGTTGAGATTAGACGGGGATGGAATACTCTCCTGTGAGAACAGTTTCGGGTAAAATATTATTTTCATTCATTTTCTCAATATTGTGAGAAAACAAACTAAAGACGGTGCAATTTTAAGGAGAAGTAGGGGAACGGGAGGTTGCAACTTTAACTAGGATAAGGACTCAAGGAGGAAGGAAGGGGGCAACTGTAGCCAGGATAAGGGTTAAGTTATACTATGAAAAGAGGGAAGGGAGGGTGTAACTTTAACTAGGTTAAGGAGGAAGGAAGGATGCAACTTTAACTAGGATAAGGGGAAGGGAGGGTGCAACAAAAACTTGTACTAGGAGGAAGGAAGGATGCAACTATAACTAGGATAAGAGGAAGGGAGGGTGCAACTAAAACTAGGACTAGGAGGAAGGAAGGGTGCAACTTTAACTAGGACTAGGAGGAAGGAAGGATGCAACTTTAACTAGGATAAGGGGAAGAGAGGGTGCAACTAAAACTAGGACTAGGAGGAAGGAAGGGTGCAACTTTAACTAGGACTAGGAGGAAGGAAGGGTGCAACTTTAACTAGGATAAAGGGAAAGGGAGGGTGCAACTAAAACTAGGATGAAGGGGAAGGGAGGGTGCAACTAAAACTTGGACTATGAGGAAGGAAGGGTGCAACTTTAACTAGGATTAGGGGGAAAGGGAATGTGAAACTTTAACTAGGATAAGGAGAAAGGGATATTGCAACTACAAACTAGGATTACGGAGAAGGGAGGATGAAACTACCATTATACTACCTTTTAAAAATCAAAATGGAAAGGTCTACATAGTAGATGAAATACAACTAAGATTGAACGTAGCTGAGGGGGGCCGGGGGGCAAGCATTCTGATTTTCCAGTATATTTACATTAATAGTCGCGTACAGTGTACATATATATGTACATATACTGTAAAGTATAGGGACTGAAATTATAGTACTTACAGGTTTAAATGTAAAATTCATTTAAATGTATTCAACAAATTTGTATAATATTTTGCTACTGTGCATGCATTAATATTAAACTTAAAGATTAAAAAAAATCTTCAACTTTAAAATATAAAGAGGAAAAAGGTGTAAATGAAGATTAAAATTTGTCTGAAATTTTCTAAAAATGTGAAGAATATTCATCCTGTGTTTATACAGACTATACCCTGAGCAAACCACCATTATCTAGCACTAACCTACACTTTCCTCTAATAACTGGTCTGAAAATAATTATATTTAAAAAAAACATTTTCTGGAAAAAAATTGAATAAATCACATTTAGGTGAACAAGGGCGGAATATTTAATGATCTTATTTTTAGTAAAATTAGTATTTATTTGGTCAAATAATCTCAGAATGGTTTTCAACACGGAGAGAAATGTTTTGATATGACTATGATTTAGTTCTTCTCTTTACTGTATGCTGTGGGAAGTTTTAAGCCTACTCTGTTTAATTCTAGTATCAACTGTCATTCGGGGCGTCGGAGCAATCTCTCAGGAGATGGTTTTCTACTAATCCTGTCCGAGTTCTCTGCTTACTCCTTGTTTTAACTATAGTCCGGAGTATCGGAGCTAAATTCGTCTTTCCCAAGAAAAAAAATTGTTCTTCTAATTCTACTTTTTTCTTGATCTCTGCTGCGTAACTCCGGAGAATCATAGCTGAACCCGAAAATTAATCACTGATACTCCTAGTCTCCACTATACTCCGGAGTATCGGAGCTGAACCCGAAGATTATCCCCTATTTCTCCTCCTGATCATCCTGGTCTCCACTACCCCGCTCCGGAGTATCATAGCTGAACCCTGAGATTATTCTTCTCTTCCTCCTCCTGATCCTCCTGCTCTCCGCTACCCAGCTCCGGAGTATCGGAGCTGAAACCCTGCAACCAGGTCAGAATTGCGTTCTTATCTTCAAGATCTCCTAAACAAGAACATTTTACTGTAAAGGTACTACTAACGCATANAATAATAAGAATAATAATAATAATGATAATAATAATAACAATAATAATGATAAGAATGACCTCTTGTCTAGTATTTTCAATGATGAATATTTGCTCTACTAGGGGAGGTTCAACCCAAAGATCTGCTTCAATAAGAATCCATTTAAGAACCTGACCTTCGTCCAGAATATCTACATCACACAGAGCCGGAACTCCGCGTTGAAAAAAGACGATTGCCGGAAGTTCGTCAAACCCAAAATCCGACGCAATCGTCTTACTGGAGATTTTCACAAACGGAAGTTCGAAGGAATCCAGTTCATCGTCAATATTCTCCAAACCTTCGAGAACGCTCTCAAACGATCCAAGATCTTTCTTTCCGTAGAAGAATACGGCGATCTGATCCGTGTTGGCTATCAATTTCTCAAGCATCTCCTCCGTGATCTCCTCGATGAGGTCGGAGTCCTGACAGTGCTCCACCCAGGCCAGAATAGTTTCATTATGATCTAGGAGTTTATCATCCGGCCAGAAGGTTGGGATCTCCGACTCAAAATAAATCAGTTTGGGAAGGATTTCAATATCGTAGAGTTGAATCTGGTCCGGGCTTGAGGTTTTAACAACACTCACTCCTCGTCCCTTGAGATTATCATCTATAGAGTCCACAGCAGATATAGCTTTCTCACTCCACTCATCTCCATCCTGTAGAATTATACAGTAAGACCCATAAAACTGTGAAATAAGAACATTTTTTAAAACTTAAATTAGGCCATTTAACATGACCCAAAGCAATCGTGTAGTGTGTGATTGATAAACTGATTTTGAAGCTGCTTGCTAAACTCTTTTTTTATTCCATATACAAATACACAGAAGATTGCTTAAATACTCTAGAGTTTCTATTTCATGTATTATAAAGAAATCACATTTTACTGAACACGCCTAACCAGGTTAGGCTGTTTTATTTTAAAGTATGCAAATATTGGGATAAATAAAAAATAATTGGGAGAAAGAAATGAAATGGTTTGAAGATATACCTTATAAAAAAGAACTACAACGAAATCAATATGGTTGATAAGAATATCAAGCTTCTCTGTGTCCACATCCTCGATAACAAAATCCTCGTCGGCCGTGTGCTTGTTCTGGAAGAGAAACTCGAAAACCTCCTCCTGGTTGTTGATATCCCCGATGTAGAGGATGGGGGTGAAGTGCCTGAAGAAGGCCAGGGCTGGCAGGGTTCGGAGAGAATAATCGTCCGCTAGTTCTAGATCAATTATTCTGACAAACCTAAACAGACCGGTTTAGATTAGAAGAGAGAATGGGAGGGTTGAGTAAACTGCATATACTGTGTTCTTAATTTTGTCCTAAATATTCACCACCACTTCAATTAAAAGGACTGTAAATAGTAGTAAGTAATTATTTATCTAAAAATATATATAAAAAAATAGAAAGCAAAGGAAAAGGAAAGTTACTTATTTATTGTTTACATTATATTTGATATAAACTGGTGGAGGATTGTTAGTATTTTTCTACGATGAACTAACAACTTTTAGAAATTAAAATGATAGATTTATTTGTAATGTTGAAAAAAATTTAAAATAAGCTTTATGGGTTGTGAAAAAAGATAAAGGTTCTACGCAAAACGGATACCGTATACCGAATACCGAATAAATAACTAGGGATTGAATACAGAATCTATATATAAATTTGGCTTGTCTGTCTGTTTGTTTGTATCCAATAAACGTCAAAACGGCTGAACCGATCGGGCCCAAATTTTTTGTGGGACATCTAGGGACCCCAGGGAAGGTTTATGAATGATTAAAATTTTAAATATTTGTCTCCATCAAAATTCGATCGTCATTAAATTTTTTAAAATTTTGAAAATCCACGAAATTTTTTGTGAAAATCCGCGAATTATTTTTGTTTTGTTTTACGATGTACAGAAAGAGAACATGTTCACAATTAAGTTAGAAGATGGGCGCGAAGCGCCCTCTAAGGCTAGTACCGAATAAATGACTAGGGGTTGGATACCGAATACCGAATAATGAATCAATAACTAGGGTTGGAAACTGAATACCGAATAAATAACTAGGGTTGGATATTGAATACCGAATAAATAACTAGGGTTTGATACAGAATACCGAAAAATAGCTAGGGTTGGATACCGGATACCGAATAAATAACTAGGGTTGGATACAGAATACCGAATAAATAACTAGGGTTGGATACCGGATATTCAATGAATAACTAGGGGTTGGATACAGAATACCAAATGAATAACTAGGGGTTTGATACAGGATACCGAATAAAAAACTAGGGTTGACCTGATACCAAATAGATCTGCCTCATCATCTATCATCTCTAGATGCTGAAGAGCTTTCATACTCTCTCTCTTCTTATCCTCATAGAATAGAACAGCTACATAGTCCTCCTCCTCCAGAATCCTATGAATAGAGAGAAGTAGTTGAACTATATGTGGCTGAGGTGGAAATTAATGAAAGTGAGAAGTAGTTGAACTATTTCTCTAGTGTGGCTTAGGCGGAAATTAATGAAAGTGAGAAGTAGTTGAACTATTTCTCTATGTGTGGCTGAGGTGGAAATTAATGAATAGTGAGAAGTAGTTGAACTATTTCTCTATGTGTGGCTGAGGTGGAAATTAATGAATAGTGAGAAGTAGTTGAACAATTTCTCTAGTGTGGCTGAGGTGGAAGTTAATGAATAGTGAGAAGTAGTAAAGTTATTTCTCTTGTGTGGCCGAGGGTACACAAGAACAGTAGTTCAGTTAGCTACACCCAAGGTTATAATGCAAGGAAAGTTATTTCAGAGGTGTACGCATCTTTTTCACTACAGTGTACTGTCTCAGGGCGGTATGTTGAAGCCTGACATGGGATCCATCTTTCACATAAAAAATCAAAGAAATAATCTGGTCATAGGAAACTATTATGTGAATTATCAAAATTTAATGCTTTAACCTCCTCAGAATTAAACGAACACTGATGCATCTATTCTTGTTTACAAATTCCGCCCAGAAGGAACTGGTTTCAATATGTACGCAGAGAATAAGCTACTGCAATTAACTTTCCTTGCATTATAACCTTGGCTATACCTAACTTGAAAAGTGGTATTTGGTGCGGAGTAAAAAAGTATCTTGATCAGTAACATTTCATGGGAGAAAAAAGTAATTTTGACAGTGGTATTTGTAGGGGATTTAAAGAGCTACTAGAACAGTGGTATCAAACCTGAACAGATTTTCCTCATCCACTGATTCTATTTTGTCTGGTAGCTCAAGAGCATCCTAAATCCAGGATATGATTTTAATCATGTTTCTGTATCCAACATTATTTATCAAAAATACAGAAACAGTAAAATACAGTAAGAAACATAAAACTATGGAATTGGAAGACGACTTTTAGAATCAAATAATGTGTTTAAATATGCGAAAGCAACTGTTTCATGTTCAACAATTATCTATTTCACTTAATAAGTTGATTTTGAAGCATCAAACAATTAACTTTATCAAATACTCATACCATTGCTGAAATGTCGTCTTCCTATTCCACAGTTTTATGGGTCTTACGGCAAAGAGAATTAAAAAAGAAAGAAACTCGCTGCTTGACACGGCATACATGACTTAGAATTGGCCCAACATGTATGAATGACTTACAGTTGGTTTGACACGTACGGCATGGAAAGCATGATTTAAAGTATGCCTGACATGGCATGCATGGCTTAAAGTTGGCCAAACATGATCTTAAAGTTTTTTTGTTCGGCAAGTATGACAAATATTACTTAAAGGGACTGTATAAGTCATTTTAAGAATTTAAAGATTTTCTTGATTCAACGAGTCACTTAAAAAAACCTAAACAGTCCCATTTTACAATATGATATTCTGGCCTCGTTGGTGAGGAACTCCACAACTGCCTCGGTGTCAAGAACATCGCCGTCAAACACCGTCATTACACCCGCCTTATAGAAGGATACTGCAGGAAACTGCCTGAATGAGGATATAAACCAGGATTGGGCATAGTTTTTTTTGCATTTTTTCTTTATCAGTTTTAAAAGGCCGATGAAAAAAATGTTTTTTATTAAAAAAATGTAGTTTTTTTAATATTTTTTTTAAGAGTACCCAAAAAGTTTAGTATTAAAGATTGAGCTAAGTTTTTCATAATTCGAAAAAAGTTGAAAAGTTTTTCGAACCTGATTCCGAGGTTTCGAGCATACTTCTTATTGTTTAGTTTCACGAACTCAATATTATATTTGTCAGTGATATCATCTACCCCCTCCAACCCTGCAATAGCAGCCTCACACGTCCTCAAATCAAAATCATAAATAAATAGATATAGATAAATTGATGTTGATAAATTGATATAAATAAATAGATATAGATAAAAAGGTATAAATAAATAGATATAAATAAGAAAATAACGATATCTCGAAAAAAAATTTAACGATGTAGATGTTGATGTAGGGATTGTAGATGTAAAGGGACTGTAGATGTAAAGGGATTGTAGATGTAAAGGGACTGTAGATGTAAAGGGACTGTAGATGTAAAGGGATTGTAGATGTAAAAACTCTCAAAAACTTTATTCTGCCTTGAATGTAAAAATGTTTAAGCTGCAAAGCGCTTGTTTCCGGTTAAATGGAGTATTTGGCAATATTCTAATTCTATTTTAGTTGATCTTACTTGCAGGTTTTAGTAAACCAAGCTACAGCTACAAAATCATTCTCTTCGACCAGCTTCTCCAGCTGCCGGTCATTCACCTGCAAATACAGGTTTAAAGTGACTGTACACGTCCACCTCCGTTTATAGATGGGAATGTCCGACTCACAACGATATCCTTAAAGGCTTTGTCAGATACATGCATCCGGGATCCGGGTTTAGTTCAACACCATCATTTGGAATCCCGGATCGGTTCGAGCAATAAAATAACATATTAACAGGTGATCTACCATTTCGCTGGATGCACTCATTTAGCAGCACAGGTCAAGCTCTCTTTCATGACCATACAAACTTCTTTTAGATTTTTTTCAAGAATAATTTCATGAGATTTCTGGAGAAATACAAGTTCTCAGAACTTCTCTCTGAAGACATTTACTTAAGTCGATTAAAATAGTCCCAAAAATTCAGAAACAAGAATTTGCCAACTCAGCGTAAATATGAAATTCTCACGGTATAAACTTATATAATTTGTAATAATTTGCTTGGCATGTGATCAAATGAGTCAATAAATAAGTTAGTTAGTGAGTGAGTAAATGAATAAATAAGTTAGTTAGTGAGTAAGTAAATAAAGGAGTTAGTGAGATATCTAATGAGAAAAAGAATAAGTTGGGAGTTTGTAAATCATAAATTTAGTTTGTAAACGTATTGTTATTTAGTAAGTTTTGTATTTATTATTGGGCATTTTGAAGAATATATTGCATCTCTATTTATAACTCTTTCCTAACTTTGTATTAATTATTTACATTAAACCTACTCAATGAAAAATACAGGTTGTCTCAGTGTGAAAACTGCTAGAAAACTTAAAGATCCTCTTTTATCTTTAAGCTTTAAGCTTTAAGCTTTCCAAATTGCGTTGTGCCCTCCTAAAGCTTAAAAGTTTCCCTTCCATTCTTTTTCCATTTCTTTTTCATCCTTTCCATATTTTCCATTCTTTCTATCTTTGCCATATTTTCCATCCTTTCCATCTATTCTATCTTTATCATCCTTTCTATCTTTTCCATCCTTTCCATCCTTTCTATCTTTTTCATCATTTCCGCCTTTTCTATCTTTTTCATTCTTTCTATCCTTTCTATCTTTTCCATCCTTTCCATATTTCCCATCCTTTCCATATTTCCCATCCATTTCATCCTTTCCATCCTTTCCATTATTTCCATCTTTTCCATCAAGTATGAATTAGATATCCGTGTTTATATTTGCTAAACTGATTATTTTCAGCGCTGGATTCTCTACAGAAGTGACTAGCGTATTTCTAATGCAGGAAAGCTTACAGAATCATTATCATAATTAAACCTGGAAAAATTACATTATCTTCCAAAATTCTTGTCAGAAAAAGATTGTAGGGGTACCGTTGTGAATCGGGCATTGCCATCTCTGTCATGCATGGAGAGTCACTTGAAATTACGCATACAGTCCCTTTAATGGAAATAATTCTTCTATACCTCCTCGATGAAAGCTTCTCCATGAAGATGAAGTACATGTGCAGTACACAGTAACAGTACAGTTAGAGCATGCATGGTAAAATTTACAAGATGCGTCTTTTTCTATCTAAATAAGAGTAATCCATCCTGGGATCCAGGCTCTCAGGGCTCACTTTACTCCAGGTTCCAACTTTAGCAGTAAGATAATTATAATCTAGGTTTCAGGTTCAATAGTATGATAGCTTTACATTAGGATCCCGGTTCAATAGTAGGATAACTTTACTCCAGGTTTAGAAGAATGATATATTTACTCTAGGTTCCAGGTTCAACAGTAGAATAACTTTACTCTAGGTTCCAGGTTCAATAGTAGGATAATTTTACTCTAGGTCCCAGGTTCAATAGTAGGATAACTGTACTCCAGGTTCCAGGTTCAACTGTAGAATAACTGTACTCCAGGTTCCAGGTTCAATAGTAGGATAATTTTACTCCAGGTTCCAGGTTCAACAGTAGAATAACTGTACTCTAGGTCCAGGTTCAATTGTAGAATAATTTTACTCCAGGTCCCAGGTTCAACATTGGAAAGTGTAGCATAAATCTTTGTTTACAATATAAAAACTTTATTTCAGGTTCCAGGTTCAATAGTGGGACAACTTTTCTCCATGTATCAGGTTCAATGATATGGCAACTTTGCTCTAGATACCATGTTTAATAGTAGAACAACTTTTCTCCAGGTCCCAGGTTCAATAGTAGGATAACTTTGCTCTCGGTTCCAGGTTCAACATTAAGAAGTTTATCATGATCTTAATTCTCCGTTAACTATCACAGTTTCTGGTTGACAGCTAGCTAATCACTATAGCTATTTAACTATTTAGCTGCTTAGCTTCTTGAATAGCTATCTGTTTGCCTCTCTAGCTGAAATACTTTCTAGTTTTAAAGTTGTCAAGCCATTTAGCAATTAAGCTACCAAGCTATCTAGCTATCCAGCTAACACGCTATTTGGTTATCCAGCTATCCAGCTGTCAAGCTATCTAGCTATCTAGCTATCTATCTGTCTAGCTGTATGTTTGTTGAGTCCTGTTGACCGACTCCTGTATCACGGCTAAACCTGACCTTGAGGGAATATGCTGAACCAAGCAGAATCTACCTAGACACTAATATACAGGAGGGGGGGGGGGGCCTAATCACGAGACTAAAACCTGAGTTTTGATTTTAAAAAAAGGGCTGACTAGAAATGACAAAGCTCTATCTCAAGTATCCAAACCTATAGTTCAAATAGATCTAGCTATTTATTAACTCTCTGAAATTCGTTCAGAGACCTCGTCATGGATTGAAAATCCCAGTTTTTAAAAAAATTAACCCAAAAAAGTATAAAACTTGAAATATTACCGCAATTTACTAACTTTTTATCATGATGTCGGCTTTAATAAAGATAAATTAAAGATCTGATGCAAACAAAAATTCCCAGAGAAAAAAAACTACAATCCTGTTTTGCTATTTAATCTGCAATCCTACGATCTTACACTCTAACAATCCTACAATCCTACAATCTTACAATCCTACAATCCTACAATCCTACAATCCTACAATCCTACAACCCTACAATTCTACAATCCTACAACCCTACAATCGTTCAATCCTACAATCTTACAATCCTAAAACCCTACAATCCTACAATCCTACAATCCTACAATCCTACAACCCTACAATCCTGCAATCTTACAGTCTTACAATCTTACAATCATATAATCCTACAATCCTACAATCCTACAATCCTACAATCCTACAATCCTACAACCCTACAATCCTACAATCCTACAATCCTACAATCCTACAATCCTACAATCCTACAACCCTACAATTCTTCAATCCTACAACCCTACAATCGTTCAATCCTACAATCTTACAATCCTAAAACCCTACAATCCTACAATTCTTCAATTCTGCAATCCTACAATCCTTAAATCCAACAATCCTACAATCCTACAATCCTTCAATCCTACAATCCTACAATCCTATTATCCTACAATCTTACAATCCTACAATCATAAAATCAAAAGCATCAAAAGGATTTCATTGGATATTTATATCGAGTATGGAAAAAAATATAATAATTTCTCAATTTGTGATAAATAATTTTGAAGTTCGGATTTATTGAAATGAACCCCCCCCCTTTTAGAACCTCCCTGTCCATCCCTTATTGGAAAACTAGTTCTAATTAATCCTTGAATTATACTCAGTGGTATATTTACAGTTAGAGAGCAAACAATACTGTACAGTGTACATTAGTACATGCGTAATTGGTAGAGGAAGCTTGTATTTCTGTTAATTAAACAAGATCTGAGATACGTTAAAAATGAAAAAGTTTTGGCACAGTGGACATTTGAATATCTCCGGAGAGATTGGTGATCATGAACAACCCGTTGGTAACATAAACCTGGCCTATGTACACGAGGGACGGAGACATAGTGTTCTAGAAGTTATCTCGGAAGGATCTTCCGAGGATGAACGCGAGCAAACCTTTTCCAAGTCCTCAGGAACACCCGGAGGAAAGGCTGAAAATGATGCCTTTCACGTGGATCGAGAACTGAAAGGGGTTGTTGGGTTTAAACTGTCTCCGCAGTTGACAAAATCCCATCCTAGACGGGATAGTATCCAAGTGGAAGAATCAGGTTCCGACGATGAAGAGTCAGCGCAGGCGCAGAGAGAAATTGACATCTGGGATAGACCCAAGGCAGGGATCTCTAGAGCTGAAATTCTTCCTTATCTTTTGGAAAAAATGAACGAGGTTGAAGACGCCTGCGTCGATGAAAATTGCCCGTACAATAGATGGTTGTACGCAGGTAAAGAGCACCCTGATCGTAGTGAGCTCGACGAGTGGGAAGTTTCTAAGTTACGGGATTTTTCTATCCCAAGACCGAGCATTTCTGGGTTTGAAATTTCTTCCGATTCAAAATCTCGGGTTAACATTTCCAGTTTCGAGGGTTCAAAGGTTTCCAAAGCTTCCAACTCAGTAATGGAGAGCACTAAAATGTCCCAGGATTTGAATCTAAATCGGTCATCAAAACATAAAGATCTATTTACCGCTCTCCCACGGACCAATTCCACGTCAATTTCTTCCTCCGACTCTATAAGATCCTTCTCCTCTGTTCCAATAGAGTCTAATGCATCCACCTATCCAATTATCACTCTATCTACAAGATCAAGACAAACTGAAAAGAAAAGAAACCCCTCTCTCTGCTGTTTCCCAGTGTCGGGGAATAAATCAGAAGATGAGTATAAATCCTATCCTCTCAAGGAGCTATCCAGACCACCGTCCTCCTGCTCCTGCTCTCATTCCTACAGTTCGTCCTGCAGTTCCTGCTCCACCTGTATACTAGAGCATGAGGATCCTACTGCTCCGCATGCCTTCACTGTACAGGGACAGATTAATATCAGATTTTCAGAGATTTTTATTTTTTTAATTTACGTTCTTTTTGAGAGCTTTTAACGAGATATAGGTCGTCATTGCTAATTCCTTTTTTATGGTAGGTAACCCTACAGATTTATGGCTTTGGTGGAAGATATTAAAATATTGGTTAAATCTCAGTTTTGTTGCCTTGCCCCCCCCCCCTCCTTTTTTTCAATTTTGCTGGAATATCTTTTATAAACCTGACCCTGGAAAGTATAATCACGTAAGGTTGCTTAAACCTTTTAGTAGGGGCGGAGGTCCAGAATATAAAGAACAAAATAATTATTTATTACTAGCTGAAGGGCCCGACGTTGCCCATAAATTTTTTAAAAGATTTTTTTAGCCGTGGGGGCCACCCATGAGTGTTCACAAAAAATTCAGCCCAATCGGTCCAGCCGTTAGGCCGGCTATACGCAACATATATATACGAATGTTTTGTTTTATTCTTATTCTGATATTATGTCTAGTGTAGGATAATAAAGTCAAGGTTAAGAGGAACCCCTACCTGCCCCGGTGTGATATCTCGTGCTGCGCGACCTTCTCCTTCATCATTATCTGCCTGGTCGCCCTCACATGCGTCCTCCTCTACCTCTACTTCAACACCAACGCGATGAGCAAGGGCATGACCGACAGCTGAGTTGTTAAACAATTTCTATCAATGTGACCGTTTTTAATTTTTAGTGACTTATTATTTTTAAATTTTGAATACAAATTATTGTTTATTTTAAGTTTTTTTTAATTAGTGGCTTTTGTGCAGTTAGTTGAAAGCATATTTAGCTTACAGTTTTTAATTTTTTATTGGATGGTTCAAGTTGTCTTAAGTTTTTTGATTTGTTTAATTCTCTAAATTTCTAGATAAATGAATTTCAGGTTCCATGGTTATATTCTTTATTGTTTAAGTGGTTAATTAGTTTGTACTTGTTAGGATATTAAATGCGTGTTAATTTGTTTTTAATTTTGTTGATTTTAAAGTTTGGTTTGTTTGATTATAGTTTGGTTAGTTCGAAGTTTGTTTATTTATAGTTTGGTTAGTTCAAAGTTTGTTTATTTAAAGTTTGGTTAGCTTGTTTACTATTTGTTTGATTATAGTTTGATTAGTTCGAAGTTTGTTTATTTATAGTTTGGTTAGTTTGTTTACTGTTTGTTTGATTATAGTTTGGTTAGTTCGAAGTTTGTTTATTTATAGTTTGGTTAGTTCGAAGTTTGTTTATTTAAAGTTTGGTTAATTTGTTTACTGTTTGTTTGATTATAGTTTGGTTAGTTCGAAGTTTGTTTATTTAAAGTTTGGTTAGTTTGTTTACTGTTTGTTTGATTATAGTTTGGTTACTTCGAAGTTTGTTTATTCAAAGTTTGGTTAGTTAGTAGTGTGATAATATTTCGATCCAAATATCTAAATTAAACATTTTAAATTGAATTATTTGCATGTTTCTCTATGATGCTATAAAATCAGACCTAATGGGTATGGGAACTAATTATCAAGTAGTTTTTAAGAAAATATAGAGCAATTTTAACTTCCCACGCGTATTTGCAGAATTTTATTGATTTCCCATTATAACTACGTCGAACTTATACCTATCCTCTTAATACTTTAACATAACATTTTTAAGAGCTTAGACATTTTTAAGTCAGAAAACATAAGGTCAGTTTCCTGTAGATCAAATGATCGTATACCTTAGGTTTAGCAAATACTAAACCAAACCCTAGCATACTGATTACGCCCTTTGTAACCTCAGTCTCCTCAGACAAAACAGAAATTAAATTCAAATCCAACCCGGGACAGTATACAGTATAGTGTCACTACAGACGCCCTGTGGAGCTGAAAGGTTCCGTCCAGCATCAAAGCTCCGACCCCATGAGCAAGGTCTGACAGGACCAGGAGAGGGGTTCCAGAGTTGGCTACAAAAAATAAGATATTCTAGAATAAAATGCATAGGCTACATTCGGGTTTCTGTTTCAAATACGAATATAGTGTAAATAATATGAATGCGACAAGAAAAATCTATTGGTATGAGATTTTAAGAACGACGAAAAACTCTTTCAATTTGAAAGTTTTTTTTGGTCTTTCGGATTGTGTTTTTAAACGCTTAACTAAATTATTTGTCGAATAAAGAAACAGGTTTACAGGTTTAAGAAACCAAGAAAGAACAGATTGATTAAATGCTGTACGGTTGAAAGATTTTTTGACCAAATGAATTAAACTCTTCTTATATTAACTTAAAAAGAGTGATAGCTCTAAGTTCTAGGGGGGGGGGGGTACGCCCCCCTCTTTATCTTGAAATTAACTTAAAATTATAACTGTCTAAGTTAAACTTCTGTGTTTAACATCTGTAGTGAGAACCAGAAAACCTACATTTGATCCAAAACTTTAGCTAAGGACCTGAGTTTAGCCACAAATTCAAATTTTCTTATCCCTTTAACTTTGCAACATTATTTTATCTATAAGAATTCATAGTTTAAAATATCAAGGGTCTACTACATTGGGTTGTTAAGAAATAGCAATTAGAAAATTAGAGTTTGCGGCAAAAACTCAGTTCATTTGTTTTAAAATATGACACAGAATGAAAAATCTGGTCGGCTTAAACCACACGTTGCATTTCTGTTGTTGAGTTATCTCAAACAGAAATTGAAGAAAGACATTTTGTTAATTTAAAATTGTCGATTGTCCATATCCTC